GACGTCTGGGGGATTGATTTCATGGGTCCCTTCGTCAGCTCTTATGGTAATAAGTACATCCTTTTTGCCGTAGACTATGTGTCCAAGTGGGTGGAATCTGTAGCATTGCCCACCAACGATGCGAAAGTGGTGGTAGGGTTTCTAAAGAAGAACATATTCACCCGCTTCGGGACACCACGAGCGATTATCAGCGACGGAGGCACTCACTTCTGCAATAGAGCCTTCGAGAAGTTGCTTACAAAATACAATGTGCGCCACAAGGTGGATACTCCTTACCACCCGCAGACTAGTGGATAGGTTGAGGTATCCAACAGGGAAATCAAGAGTGTGTTAACGAAAACTGTGAACGCTACGAGAACTGATTGGGCGAGGAAGTTAGATGATGCACTCTGGGCCTACAGGACAGCTTTCAAGGCACCAATTGTTATGTCACCATACAAGTTAGTGTTTGGGAAGGCCTGTAACCTACCTGTAGAACTTGAGCATAGAGCGTGGTGGGCACTGAAACAACTAAATTTAGACATGGAAGCTGCGGGCACGTCAAGAGTCACAGAACTGCATGAGCTTGAGGAGTTCCGGTATCTTGCTTTTGAGAGCACAAGACTGTACAAAGAGAGAATGAAGAGGCTACACGATCAAAACATTGTTGAGTGGAACTTCAAACCTGGGAACATGGTATTGCTATGCAACTCAAGACTGAGGTTGTTCCCGGGTAAGCTGAAGTCACGATGGTCTGGACCATTTCGAGTGGTTGAAGTTTTCCCGTCAGGAGCGGTTGAAGTTTCCACTGAGAATGACCCTCATACATTTAGAGTCAATGGTCATAGATTGAAGTTGTATGTGGGTATGAGCGAGCCTAAGGAAGGGGCTGAACTGCATCTGACTGGACCACAGAGGTCGAGCGAGCCTTAAATGCGCTCTTCCTGCATCGTGCATCGACGTTAAATTAGGCGCTACGTGGGAGGCAACAGGCGAAATTGTTGTAAGTGTAACATAAAAAAAACGTCAGAATCAGAGACGCGGTCAGACCGCGGTTCCACCGCGACCTCGGTCAAACCGCGGTACTGACCCTTCTCTGAACCCAGGCCATCGCGGTTAACCGCGATCGCGGTAAAACCGCGGCCAGGGAGACCCTCTGAACTTGGTCTACCGCGGTCCTAC